CGACGAGCCTCGATGTAACTCAGGTTCTTGAAGTCGGTACCAGATCGAAGCACGTGAGTCCCATTGATGAGGCTGTGGGCGTAGAAATGGTCGTGTCCGCCGAGGATGATATCAATGAGTCCCTCCGTCTGTTCCGCCAACTTGTTGTCATTGGGTTCTCGCATGTGGCTTAGACAGACGATGATCTCTGCACCGTCCTCCCGCAACTTCGGGACGAGCTCCTTGGCAACAGCAGTAGCGGATCTGTACTCCAGATTGGGCGGTAGACTGTTGATGGTCTCAAGCCATTCTCTCTCACCCAAGCCGATGAGGCCAACCTTGATGCCATTCGAAGTGGTGATCATGTGCGTCTTCTTGGCATGGCCAATAGGTGTGTCACCGCCAATGTCATGGTCGATGACGTTTGCGAGCAGCCAAGGGAACTTGTTCTGACTTGAGAGATGCTCAAACTGCTTAACGCCAAAATCGAAGTCGTGGTTCTGTGATTTGAGGCTGGTTAGTTACCAAGTCGGTCAAGGGTGGTGTGACCTACCCACCCCTACACAAGAGCAGTCCGTTCCAATCAGATCAAGAACGGGAACCATGTGTTGACCTAGGTTGGATCGTCAATATCTACCTAGAATGTAATAAGATGCATCTTTCCTGGATCTCAAAACTCACCTTTGGTCACAGTACTCTCCAAGCTGGGGTTAAAGACATCTCCAGAAAAGAGCGTCAGGGCTCTAGGCTGATCCTTGAACTGCTCGCCTTCCTGGTACTCGCGGCACACGCTGATGAATCTTGGCAGGCCACCCACAGGCTCAGCACTCGAAGGGTCCAAGTGATAGACGTCGTTGTAGTGAATCAGCCTCAAATCGGGAGGTGAATCAGCCTGGCCCTGATGCTCAACACGACCTGAGGCGTAGGTGACTTGAGGTTCCGCAGTGGGCTCTCCGGCCTCTGCGGGGGCAGTGTCTTTGACCATTGGTAACAATATCAGTGATGATGTTCAGATAATCGAGTATTTATTAGGATACTTATTCTTTCTCAAGAAAGAATAAAAAACAGAATTCTTCAAAGAGCGGGAATGGTGACAGATTCAAAGGCAACGAGGCGCAGCTGAAGCTCTACCTTACTTCTCTCCTCTCCTCTCCTCTCCTCTCTTCCTCCTCAAAAGTCCAGGGCAGCGCTAACGGCAGCTTGCAGGACGGGCCCCCGGGGAATGGATCCAGTAGACCAGTCAGCACGTGACACTATGAATAGCCATTACTTTGTGTTTGTTGATGATTTGCTGCAGGAGAAGCTTTCATGTTTGGGGCCTGCGAGTAACCAACGCAGCATGTAACGCTGACGAGATTTCTTCAGCAGCAAGAGGTGGTTCTCTTGTTTTAACGTTGTGGAACATCACACGGACATGGTGTGCGGCAAAAGCAATTAACAGCACTGAAATGTGTAGCAGAAAAGGATAGCTGCTGGATATATCGGTGAGGAAAATGCCTATTAACCACCACCTATAACTAATTGTGATACTCGAAATGCTTCCTTCTATGTGGATAGCTTCCTTTGTCCCCGACTTTCTGTCCGGCCATTGGCCATTGTCACAATTCCAATTACTAAGATTGAACTCTATGGTCTCATTAATAATACCCTGCTTCTTATAGGCGACTTGTATTCATCAGGTGCTCAGTCCAAAGGACAATTAGGGTATTTGCTCCAGATACGGCTCTATAGGGTAACGAATGAACCACTTCACTTCAAGATCTTGAGGCATTCAGGCAACGCGCTTTGCTCAATCCACGCTCTAATCACATCAGAAAATAGCTTTGGCTTCTGCAAATTCCACGTATGCACTGCTCCTCTGACTACCGCACCCAGTGAGCCCTCAATGGGCATTTCCCTACCCATTCTCCTCACCGCCTCAACATCGTCAATGCCTTCTGCCGCGACCGCCAGCGTTTTGACTGGAAGCGTCCTGATGTCTTCCCATTTGAGCTCCAAGAGTCCCGTGTCCACAGCACAAATCACTTCCCATCTCCTGTTATGCCGCATCTCTTCCAGTAGTTCTTTGTGGCGACGCATGCCGCGGCCTTTGACAGCCACGAGCATATACAGGCATGCCGGTACCAGCTCGAGAAGCACTAACATAGCGTAGTAGGTAATGCTCGGATGGCGGACAACCCATGCACAGCGGCCCTCCATGGGGTGCCCCGCGGTGACAATGGCAGAAAGGACCAGCTCCGGATGTTGCCGGCTGATACGGAGAGTGATGAAAGCACCCATGGAGAGACCGACAACGTGGGCCCGGCCGTCATGTGCGTGTCGCCGAATGAGCAGCGCCACCCGCTCTGCGGAGTTGGAGATATTCGCAGGGAGAATATTGCGGGATTGAGAATGACCGCTGATGTCGGGGGCAATGATGTGATAATCGGATAAGTAAGGAATCACGTAGGACCACTCAAGATGTGAGTTGAGTAGACCATGCAAAAGTATCACTGTGATTGGCTTGTCTTGGTTGAGACTGACAAAGAAGAGCTCCTGCTCTGCCTCGGTCGCTTCTGGTGATGCCATCTTCGTAGGATTGTGAAGAGCCTGATATTACCAAGATGCATGTGTATTTGGCTGAAGTTACGACAAGATGAATCGAAAAGCATCATACCACCTTTCAGCTGATTTCAGCTGACTACGCCGCAGCCATCTTGATCTATTACATATCATATCAACACTACCTACCTAGGTTCCTAGACAAGCTATAAGATTGACGAGATGCAATATTACCGACACCGGCAGTCACGAAAAACAAACGTGAAAGCTTTTTTAACTCTCCGATCTGGAACATCAGCTCTGAAATATTGTTTCGCATCCAGTTAGTCTAGTCAACCGCGTCACTCTTCTTCAGGCGTCTTGACAGCAGCGTAGTATTAATTGATGATCATCACCACTAGCTGTTCCCAAACATTCGCCAAGATGTTTGCATCTCAGGGTGACTTCTGTTATAGGGCTCGTAAACTTATCGCAAAGAGCCTGCAACAAGTTTCATCCCAGGTCCTATGCCCTAAGCCAGAGAGAGGTTGAGAACAATATCTGAGTGTGGTATCAGCCGCGTTTCCAAGGCGATCATACATAAGCCGTCGAGATACCGATCGGATGGTCGTCGTTCCTGTTGCAAGAGAGTTTCACCGTCGCGACGCCGTTTCTGCCACTACACTTTTCGCTTCATCTGGCGCCACCATCAACATCCACAAATTCTGCAGCTGAGGATCGTTGAGGAAAAGCCTGCCCTGCCTCCACTGACTGACTCAATTGACCTCCCTCCTTATCCCTCGGCGCTAGAGGCCATGTGGCAGGCGAGTTGAAAAGTCGCCAGATGCCTTGTTTCACAAACCGTTGATGGGTTTTTCGAGGCGTCACGGCGAAGAAATCCTCTGGTTTATGGAGAATTCCAAGTCCATGAAAAACGTCTAATAAGAGTTGAAAATGAAGCCATCGCCGACTCACAATGGACTGACGTTGACAGGGAGCGCACCCAATAGCCACCAGATCTGGTGCCGCAAGCTAGTGGGCGAGACGCCATGTGGAACAGGGGTCATGGCCTGAAGAGCCCCTGGCTAAGGGCAGCCGTTGCCCCTAGCGGTCCCTGACACGGGCGGCCATGCTCATGCGGGTTAGAGTGACCGTTGGCAGGCCTGGGCTGCGATCTTGGCTGACCAGGGTTGAATATTTGAGGTTGATCTAACCAGACCGCATCAGTGGTTCTTGGAAGATGCAGTCGAGGGAGGACGATATGGCCTGATGGAAATGAAAAGAACGATACCTGTAGACTACCTAAGAGTTATCTTGCAGTTTTTCTCTATCAGCGTTTCACTAGCCAAGCCAAACAACAGCTAAACCTCTCAGTTCCAAAGTCGACCTCTCCCTAGTCCAACCTGAAACGAGCTGCCCTCACCCACCACCCACCACCCTCACCAGAGTCACTGCTTGGCCTGCTTGGCCTGCTTGGAAGCTGGCTCGGTTTCCCGTGATTGAGTTTGCAGCCATGTCCACGCTAGTCTCCATGGCCCCGATCTTGACACCGCCACAAACGAGGGAGCCAAGAGAACCAACATCTTGGCCCTGCCTGTGACAAGTCCAGAACACAGACGAGACAAGCCTGGCACTCGTCAACATCGATATGTGTTTTGTTATTACCATTGTGAAGCACAACAGCCGTCACGATGCCAGTTGATGTCACCTATATCGCCAATATCAACTCGATAGCCGCTCACAGCCTCACAGTTCCATAGTTTCAACTGCTCTTGAGCCAACCAGATAACATCAACTCCAGCTCCCAAGCATTCCCCTTGCAACCGCTGGTCCCACGATAGCACGTTCCCCAAAACCCTTCTGCCAGCTAAAAGGACTACTGTGCCGCTCTACCGGGCCCCATTACTACTTTCGATTCTTCGCCCCTCCCTTTCAATCTCGTTCCTTTGGCTGTTAAAAGTCAAGTCAGTCCAGGTCTGTCTTGGTCTGGTACGATTCGAGCGGCGCGTGGGCTGGTCCCCAATTTTTTCTCTTCTTCCCCCCTTGTTCTCTTGTACTTCTTTTTATTCCCTTTACTATTAGACGATCTGCCATTTGGCTGATCTTCGATACTTTAACTTATTCTGCTTCCTTGTTCTTCTTTCCTTACTCCATATCTCTTATAATAAGTACCGATCGTTGCCGGTGGTGGAGCTACCTTATTGTCACGACGACTTCATTATTGGGATTTTGAGATCATATCTGTCTATACCCACTCAATTCAGCTCGACGCATCGCATATAATCACTCCCCAGGCAGTGGTTCAATTACAACAATTCTCACCGCAGGACGGCAAAAAAAGAAAAGAAGGTTATTCTGTTGATTTGGACGAAAAGAGAAAACGGGATTGGATATCGCTACGGATCACGGTCTCACGTATAGTAAAAACGGCCTACAGAAATCACTCAGACGAAAGATACGCAGAGCATTCAGAAAGAGCTTGGAAGAGAAGACACGAGAAAATGGCCTCGGCCTTGTCAACTCGGCTCGCCGCAGCAGCCCTTTTCGCCCTTTCAGTAACAGCACAGTCATCACCCGCCATGTCCATTGAGTCCTTCATTCGAGCAGCTGATGATGTTCTCCACCGCCCATACGTTTCCCTGCTATCAACACCGCTCGCTGAGCGCGATGGGAACGCCACAGTCGAGCAGCTTCCCGCAGGAGATGTCCCTCTGACAAAGGATGGCTCGTTGAACATGACGGCCTGGAACATGGACACCAACGCTGCATGCCGATCAGTTCTCGGTGGACTGCACAAGAGCACAAACCCCTCTGGAACTTGCGTGTGCTATAACCTTCCCTCACTCGATGTGAAGACTGGTGTTTTTGAGGCTGATGTTCGACTATATCAAGTTTCTCAACCCAGAGGTAGTTTTGCAGCTGTTGCACCTGAGGATATCAACGTTGGAATCTCATACAAGGGTGCAAGTGTTATGCCCATTCAGCCTGCGGATGTCAATGGCACAGGTTTAACAGGCGGTAAGCCTGGTATGGGAAAGAGACAAGAGGGAATGCAACTCCTACAATCATATATGTTGGTTGGAAAGATTGATGCGGACAAGATGACGGATAACATGACTATGTAAGCTTTCACACTCGCATCTCACTTCATTCACATATACTGACTTTCTCAGGGACGAGCTCGAATGCCATATCATGCCAACCCTCACCCTCACTGCCCGCAACAGCACAGGCAGCACCATCCGCACCAACGTCTCCATCAACGAAGCCGCTTTTCTCACTGGCGTCTTCTCCCAAGATGTTGTCATGTCCGACTTCGCCATGGCCTCAGCCGCCGTCGACGATCAGGTCGCCGCTCTCAACAACGGCACTGTTGCCTTTGTCCTCCCAGGCGTACAGCTCATGGTCCTCCCCATTGGTCTCATTATGATGAGCGTCTGGCTGCTCATCTTCGTCTTAGCTGTTGGCTTCGGCACATATGAGCGTTACAACTATGCTCTCATGTATAAACGCAGACAAGCTGTCACAATGCCCAAGAAGGCGACAATATGAAGTAGGACATGAAGTTGGGATATAATCAAGCGAGCTTTCCATTACTCTTACGGCCATGCATAGCGTTGTCGACTCTTTTTTTTCTTTACTACTTTAACTCCCATAAGCGTGTCATTTCCACTCTGCCGATATTTCAGGCACCATATGTTTTTTTAGTTGATATCCGACCTTACATGGTCCCTAGATTCACTTTCTACACTACAACAATAGATAGTCTCATAGCATCAATGTACTAGCCGATATGGCTGAACAATCACCTACTAAGCAGTATAGAGTTCATCCCCATATTGGGCATCTGGGGGAGATGTCAGATTGTGGGACGAGTCCCCTCTACATGAAACACCATCGTAAGGTACTGAACCCGGAAATCCATTTTGCCGACCCTTGTTGCATGACGATGTATCAGCCCGTTGGTGTCAAAACTGTAATAAAATTCTTGGTATCGTAATATAACATCTAACATGGCCATGCTAAGGAAATCATGGGCTAGTCGCACAACTGTAACAACTCCAACGCTGTAGAGACCGTCCAATGCAAATAGGAGAAAACGTCGAATCATAGCAAACTGGTTCCTCCAACTCCTCCAAGCCATGCACATAATCGAAACGCCGCGCGGCAAGACATGACTTCAACCTATGAGATTGACAATCTTCTCTCTGCACTTCTCCATCGCCCTTTAGCCCAGAGGAAGCATTCTGTGAAGACCATATACCACCCTGTTACCATCCAGAATGATAGAATGACACCCAGTCCGCCCATGAGTCGTGCGTCGACAATACCCCGTGTCATTGTCTCGCGAATAGCATCGTTCATCATAAGCCACCCGTAGATTGGAATAAGCGGCTCATGGGACTTGAGATGCGATGAGAGTCGGTTTGTTGGGCCATTCCGCTCACGGTTCCATTCCGAGATGGTGTCCGACATGCGCCAGGCAACTTTGTTGTTAATCTTGTCCCATGTCATCTCGCATGCGTACGATCTTGCGGCCTGGGCCATCTGGGCACGAAGGGTGTGGTCTAGACCAAGTTTCATGGCCTTGGCTACGAAACCATCGAGGTCGTCTGGAGAGATGAGGAATCCGTTTCCTCCTTGCTGGACAATGTCAGACGGGCCCCCTTCATCACGAGCGATGACTGGAACCCCACTGGCCATAGACTCCAAAACGACAAGGCCAAAGGTTTCTGTAACCGAACAATGGAGAAAAACATCGCCGCTAGCATAAGCAGTGGCGAGATCTTCCCCGACCTTAAAACCGGCGAAGATAACCTTACCCTTCTCTCGTAGAGGATCAAAAAGCTCTTGCACTTCCTTCTCGACATCGGGGTTGCGGTTACCGCCGACTATGTAAAGCTTGAAATTGAGTCCCCGGGCATCAAGCTCCTTTGCAGCCTTCGCCAGGAAATCGAAACCTTTCTCACCAGCGATTCTGGAGACTGTCACGAAAATGATCTCGCCGTTAGGTGCCAGCTGTTTTCGCAGTTCCTCGCTTCTCATTCGGGGGTTGAATAACTCAGTGTTGACACCTCGTGTTAGAACCTCTAGCTTATCTGCTGGCACCTTCTGGCCCACCAAATATCGTTTCACAAAACTCGAAGGGTAGAATATGGTCTTGATCGAGGAGTGACTGAAGAGATAACTCTGGACAGCTGCGAATGCAAAGACCGCAACGTGGCTCAGCGGCGCCGGAAATAGGATGGAACAATAGCCAGCAAGATCGGTCTGGAAATTGCAGATGACGGGTATTTGCTTCTCTTTTGGCTGTTGTCGTAGTTGAAGCATGACTTGGAAACCCAGACTTGCAGGCGATGCAAGGTAGATCAGATCGGGGGGAGCATCATCGCCAAATGTTCTTGAGTACAGAGTCGAATTGCGCACCGGGTACACGATAGAGAGCTCGGGATTGAATGGGAGAGGATATCCAGTGACTCTGACTTCGGGCTGCTTATCTGCAGGGGACATAGTTGGCGATGGCGGCGGCGTAAAAGTATTGTGTTCTGTATGGTTATGTGGAGCAACCACTGCGACCTGAGCCCCATGTGCTCTTAGATGGTTTACAAGCATCAAAGTCGTGCGACTGACACCATTGACAGGCCCAAAAGACTCGGTGCAGAGGAGGATTCGCTTCCCTTTCAGGGTATCAGGAAACTTGGAGAGGTCATGGCTGGGATAGCGCGGTTGAGGAGCGGGTAGAGCTTCAGCAATCATGTTGACTAGCAGCAAAGTGCTTTGGATGGAAGTTATCGTGAAGACATGCTGCGAAACAGAAAAGAGGCGGAACACGACTCTTTTCTCTTTCGCAATGCCTATAGTCACAAACCAACATCAGAAGAAATGCCTCGCACGTGGACAGAAACAGGGCCACGGGAGCGAGACAATACATCTGTAGAAGCACATGAGGTGCAAATTTTGGTAAGAGCGAGGCTGAATACAAGCCAGAGTAAACACCACGAGGAGGGGCTGTTGGACGCAGTTCGTCGATCTAGGGGGACCATTCTCGTGGGGGAGGGGCAAATGGAGGGGTCGATCTTGATTAGACGTCATGGTATGAACGAGAATATAGCATTGTATTGGTGAATATGATGGCAGTCTTTGTTTCTAGGAATTCTTGAGAAACTTCGTGGCGGGCGTGCGAGAGGATCAAGGACAGACTTGTCTTGACCACCACAGGAAGTTCAAACGCATCAAAAGACCCCTTCTTTAGACTTGTAGGTCCTGTCATGCAATCACTCGATTCCAGGATCGAAAAAACAACTGCCGGTCTTGTGCCAGAAGTTCTGGTAACAATGACTCAGCCTGGTCGATATGTGATGGTCTTTCAGGTTGGTCCCTGACATGAACCATTCGCTGAGATCTGTGTCGTTGAAGAACCCCGGCTGCAGACGTGCAGTGGGCGAATCAGAGGCCTCGCCGATATCACATTGTCCCAAGACGTTCAACCCGCCAATGATTGAGAGATCGCGAATGGCCATGGCAATTCCAGCCCCCGTGCCCAAACAGATCTTGGTCATTGGCGGCGGGTTTTGCCATATCCAACAACAATGGCTTTTGGATCGCGACTCGCGACAGACTCATCTCAGCTTGAAGATAAAAGTGTCAGTAGTCAAAATTGATCATTTCATGAAAGACATCGGAAATAGACGGAGCGCCTCCAGTAATCTCGACTCGCCAACCATGGGTTAAGCGGGAGCTATCGGCATCGGGAAATTGGTGGCGCCATTGCGAGTCGAATGGGCGTTTTAGGCAAAAGCAGAGACGTACTCCACAAAGCTCAAGAGAGATGACCAACAGTTTTCAATCAAACTTATCAGAGTTGGCGGCTGGTTGCTAAGAGAATGAGATTAGTTGAAGATTCCAGTAGGTCCAGATCTCAAAGAAAACATCCACAAACACGTGCAACATCACGTGGACATCTTATTCTTCCTTCTTAACAACCACCTGACTTTGTGTTGGGATGAGGACTAGAGTTGTCCAATCTTATGAAGAATGAATGAAGAACCCTCTATCTGGTTGTAAGTCTACCAAGTGTCTGGCTATGTCGCAAATGTGGTCTCATCCAATATGTTTGCGTGGATATATCTGGAACGATGTAGAATTGAGGCTTCCAATATGGAGACAACTTGACCAGGGCATGTCAGATAATCGCGCCTCTGCCTTGATATACCTTGAATTCTTCTCTATAGTCCAAGCGAAGTGGAATTCATCAACCGCGATACCCCTCTCGCGGATGATCTGAATAGAGTCGCTTCGCGGTAATAAACATCTGATGGTCTGGTGTTTAGGAACCCGCCGACATGCCTAGCGAGCTCGAATGTTGATGGAATCGACGGGCCGATCCACTGTTGCGACCGGAATCCCCAAATACCCATCAACATGGGCATTGAGCTTCTGTGGACACATGAGCTGTCTGTCTTGCTGCTACAGACACGGCTCGCAGCCTCCGTTGAAGGCCCCATCATCTTCCCGGCTTGGCTCATGAATCCCATGCGAGCTCATGACGCAGAGGTCCCCCGGCATCATGACACCCATCAATAGTCGCTACTAGAGCCGAATAGAGTGGGAATGGGATTAATTAGTTACAAGGGTCTGGGTTATTAGCTCGGTGGGATGCCCACCCGGTGACAATTGGAGGGTCAAGATATGCACCAAGAGATGGACAATATCTTGCTGACCGACCAACTAACACGAAGTCAAGTGCTTTTGCTCAATAATTCTGAGTCGGGATCCCATAGATCCTCTTGGTAACAGTTCAGTGGTCGGCTGCTGGCATCCCAGCCCTCAACAATCTTCAGTGATGGATTAGAGTGTTGGTTGCCAAATTAGCGCTCAGCCGCAACATAATCTTTTTGGGTCAGTGCAGAGAGGCTGGGCTGGCTGAATACTACCTAGGTAGCCTTTCATGATACATGAACGATGAGAATACATACGTATATCTATGAAGAACAACTAATTAACCCTTGGCATCACCTGAGACCAGTCTCTTCATGGGTTAATGTCCGTCTTGATTATTTTCCCCTTGTGCGACTCCTGAGAAAGGAAGCTGGCTAGAATTTTGACGAGTCAAATAGGAACCAGACGATTGTGAGAATTGCAATACCTAATCAACCCGTGTCGTAGCCGCGCCGATCACGATGATATGTTTCAGAATAGGCTGACATTTATCGCCAAGCTCGAATTAAGCGTCACCTCGTCCAACACCCGACAGACTACCTATTCGGATGAGTTTCCAGAAGAGTAATCCGAGAGCTTGCGAAGCAATCGCGAGTATGTGTGGCTCGAATCTATTTCTGTCAGAATGTCAGTGTCAATGTCAGCATTTACATATACTGCGGAGTCGGCCGAGTAAGCACAGTGCTTTTCTTCGTTCTGAGTCGGTAAGACTCCGGTTTTTGTTAGCAGAATGACGGGCATCACAAAGTGTTCAATCAGCGACCCCTGAGGCGCTATACTCCATGCCCCATCGGCCGAGCCGGCATCGGGTGATATGAGACCAATCGATATTACGGCGTCTCACTCTTCTGGTTGTTGGCCGCCATCATAGATTATTAGTTGTCTTGGTATTGACGTTTGTGAGGGCCCCAAGGCGCCTGCTAATCGAGATACTGTCTAAGACAAGTACCCAAGAAATTGGGTTTTACTTCTCAACAAGCGTGCCAGTCTATAGGCAATTCTGTACTTTAATGTCTTGGACAATTCCCTCCCTGATACCACAATAAAGACATGTACTCCGTAGGTTGTTTTCCTACACCGTCTTGTCCCTATTTCCGTTAGTCGCCTCATTATCACCTTTTGCATGCCATGCCATTTCAGCCGGGGGTTGTGGCTACGTATCCGTTGTAACGAGTCGTTGCAGCAGAGAATCAACCCCTGTCTATCAGTTGGTCGAAATCTCGGCAACCTCAAAACATTGACTTGTTGATCTTCAAATCATGTCAGCCTCGCAGGAATGAAGATATCCAGTACTAGAGGACATCTATCAGGCGATGCACGGAGGGCGCATTCCGCTGAAAATTCTGCACCTCGTGTTCTGTTTTCACGAGCACACCAAGTTCTTTTTTAAAGTCGGTCAGCTTTATGAGGCTGAGGCGATGTAACTTAGGCTGGATCAACTTGTTCGTCCTGATGGCGATTGGGACTGTTACTCTGACAGCATCGCCCGTGCACCCTGACATCGTGAATCGACAGCGGGAATGGATCGTTTCTGTAAGAAACAGTCTGGTCTGGTCTCTTCCCGTCCCCAGCAAGATACCTACTGCAGGGCATACAGTAGCGAAGAGTCCATGTTCCGTTTGATAGCGTGGGTGATATCAGGAACAGTGCGTTGGACAGTGCATAACCGGGATGTGGACCCTGGCTTTGGTACCCGTAGTTCCTTGTCAGAGCATTTGGTGGATTATTTGCTTTTAGACTATGTTCGTTAGATTCTGATAATATTGGCTGTTAGTCTAATTAGAGATAGTTACGGTGTCCACCTCGAGATAACCTCATGACATTTGAGTTTGCTGATCTGAGACTAGGCAGAGAATTTATTCCGATCTATAGCTCGTATGCATAATTCCTCCAGAATAAACTCACCGACAAGCGTCAACCAACTGTCACCAATCCTCAATTTATAAGCTTAGCCGTGCAAGGCATGTGGGGGTTGTATTGGAGGGACCTGGTTTGCGCGGGAGTGGAGGGGCTTGCGCAGCCCAGCCCAGCCTTGTAGCGCACCGTGCCTTATCTGATGGATACTGTACCTACAGTGCTATTGGATTGGATTGGATCATTTCTCGATCCAATTCCAGGGCCCCTCGAGCTCCCAAAAGTACCCTTTTCAGCGGGCTGCAGTGGCCACGGTACCTGCATTCAGAACCCCCCTCCGTGAGAAGGTGTCTGTGTGCCTGGAATCCCTGAAAATCCAATGAACGAATCCCTGCCCCTCCAAGAATCGACACCACACACAGCACACCTGCTGCCGCTCGCTCCCTTGGAAGGTTGGCGGCGGGCGGGCAGAACGAGATATGTACCTGCTGTAACTAAGGACTGTGGAAAAGAACAAAGGTACTAACTTAAACTAATGGGAATAATCTCACCGCCTTAATTTCTCGTGCCAAAAAAGTTGCTCCCCAATCGTTGCGTGGCTTCAACGACTGCCCCTCCACCGGCCTTTGCCTTTGCCTTGGGTAAGGTAGTCTCCCTCCGTCCTTCTCCAGTCTCCTCCAGAGCCCAGAGGGAAAGTAGTGCCCCCCCTTTTTCCTATTAGCTCACCTTGACTGCAACGTTGAAGTGGGAATATCTTTTCTAGCCTCCCTTGCCTTTGCTTCCACCTCCTTTATAAACCTCCCCATTCCCTCCCATCTCTCTCCAAGCCCTTACACTCGCTAGCATACTACGTGTGTCGATTCGTGACCTCGTTTGCGCGCATCGTCTCTACAGATTGTTATTTGCCTTATCTGTAATATCTTCATACCGCCTCTGATCATCATGTCTTCAAACGGTACTCAGGAGGCCCCCATTGAGGTACGCCGCATCTGCTGTGTCGGTGCTGGTTACGTTGGTAAGTTGCAGAAACCTTTTCCAATCGATTCTCCATGAGAGAGCAAAAAGCTGGTGGATCGGATTTGCGAGAGTTATGGCAAAGCACTCGATATCATGACTGCGTGCTTATCAACCCCTCGGGACCTATACACCGCTCCAATAACGCAATTGAGTTCCAACCAACTAACAAACTTCACACAGGTGGCCCCACCGCTGCTGTCGTCGCTTTCCAGAACCCCCACATTCAGGTCACTGTCGTTGACCGAGACACCACTCGCATTCGCCGCTGGAACTCCCGCCACCCCCCTATCTACGAGCCTGGTCTGCACGATATCGTCCGAATTGCCCGTGATGGTGGCCGACCTACCAAGATCTCCAATGAGCCTACCACTGACAGTGAGGGTTCCTCTGCCGAGGAGGGCGAGATCACGGTTGCTGAGCGCAAGCCCAACCTGTTCTTCTCCACCGACATTGCCAAGCACATTGGCGAGGCCGATATTGTCCTTGTTGCCGTTAACACTCCCACCAAGTACCGTGGTGTCGGTGCCGGCAGCGCCACTGATATGACCGCTTTCGAAGCTGTCACTGGTGTCGTTGCTCAGTACGCCCGCGAGGGAGCCATCATTGTCGAGAAGTCGACTGTTCCTTGCCGAACTGCCCAGCTTGTCGCTGATACTGTAAGCACATGGTGAATTCTGCAGCAGAAGAGCGGTCAAATGCTAACAATGTGATTCAAGCTTAACATGCACCGCCCTGGTGTCCATTTCGAGATTCTCTCCAACCCCGAGTTTTTGGCTGCCGGTACCGCTGTCAACGATCTCCTCTACCCTGACCGTATCCTGATCGGTTCCGCTCCTACCCCCTCCGGTAAGCGAGCTGCCGAGGCTCTCGTCAAGGTTTACAACGCCTGGATTCCTCGCGAGCGCATTCTGACCACCAACGTCTGGTCTTCCGAGCTCGCCAAGCTTGTTGCCAACTCTATGCTGGCTCAGCGTATCTCCTCCATCAACTCCATCTCCGCTGTCTGCGAGCAGACTGGCGCTGATGTCGATGAGGTTGCCCGTGCTGTCGGTGTTGACCCCCGTATTGGCAACAAGTTCTTGATGGCTGGTATCGGTTTCGGTGGTAGCTGCTTCAAGAAGGATGTTCTCAACCTCGTCTACCTTGCTGAGACCATGGGTCTTCCCGAGGTCGCTGAGTACTGGCGCCAGGTTGTCAAGATGAACGAGTATGCCCGTGACCGTTTCTCCAACCGCGTCATCAAGTGTCTCAACAACACTCTCGTTGGCAAGAAGGTTACCATTCTTGGCTTCGCTTTCAAGAAGAACACCTCCGATACCCGTGAGGCTCCCGCTCTTGAAATGATCAAGACCCTTCTTGAGGAGCGCCCCCGTGAGGTGGCTGTCTTCGATCCCTGCTGTAACCCTCTGGTGATCAAGGCCGAGATCAAGGAGCTCCTCGGACCCCTTGCTGAGGGACACAACATCACTGTCCATGGCAATGCCTATGATGCTTGCGAGTCTAGTACCGCCATCATCATTGCTACTGAGTTCGACGAGTTCCGCAACCAGCCTCCTCCTCCTCCCGCCCCTACACCTGCCGTCCAATCTAAGACCATTGGCCGCAAGCCTAACCCCAAGGCCGACCCTCGTCCTTTCGAGAGCGCCACTCCCAGTGCCAACGAGCTTCTCGCTCTCCACAAGCACCTTGTCCAACGTGCTGATGTCCAATCCCATGACCCTCTGGACCGCTTCAACGTCGAGCCCAGCTGTGAAGACGACTGCCCCGACTGCATCCAGGAACGTGAGAGCAAGGACACTGGCTTCGCCACAGGAATGGGAAGCTCCGAGGAGTACAAGCCCAAGGAGCGCGTTGACTGGGTCCGCATTTCTGAGAGCATGGCCAAGCCCCGTTGGGTCTTTGACGGCCGTGGTGTCATCGACTCTCGAGAGATGGTCAAACTTGGCGTTCGCGTCGAGAGTGTTGGTCGCCAGCACCGCTTCTAAATGTCTCACCTGGTTTTGAGACAGACACAACTTTTTCGACAGCCGACTTTTAGATTTCTTGATTGTATGAATTCGTCGACTGTTGGCTAAGATTATACCGTTTTTAATAAGCATGAAATGACATATGGACGTGGTTGATGATACACGCCGAGATACACTGGAAGGACTTGGCGGATGCACGGCGTGAACAGGTGAAGATGTTTACTGGACATAGATTTAGATTCGAAGATGTTAAAAATGCGATGCGAGAGCAATGTTTCCGTTACCTTTTGTCTGATGTCCATGGCACCTTGTCTGAATTATGGCCCTGTAGCCGTTTGGACTTTGGCGATGGACAGATCAGATTACCCCATGTCTATCAATTAAGCTTAAGATGGGGAGGCTGGGTAGGTACATGCTAACTGAAATATTTCATAGCGGTTCGGCTATCACGATCGCCATCTATCATGGTGTTCGCGTCAGTCAATTTGTTTCATGACTAATCCACCATGATCCTGTCCTGAGACGAAGCTTCAACCACCTTGTTTCAGCCGATTGACCAGGCGTCTCACCTCTGAACCTCTAGTGTAACAAGCTATCACCGGAATACTACTCGTTTCCCAAGCCCAGCCGTCATGTTCCCTGCAACAACGTTCTCGATCTCGCTCCACGTAGCATCGTGCCCTGCACTTGATACAGATTACTACTCTCCTTTGGGCACGCGTTTCACCATGCATCGAGGAGTACCGTCGCCGTGGTTCACCTCCTCGTGCGTGCTTCTCGTCTCGAGACATTTGTCGTCTTTGTCTTCCTGTTGAACGGGTGACATTTTGGTCTCGCTACCATACGCTCTTTAACCATATTGGTATCACTTTTGTGTTATCCCGGGGCTGTGCCTCTATATTCTTTCGCTTATTATTCAATTGCTGGCTGCAGGCGGCTCATCCTGTCTTGTCTTGTCTTGTCTTCGAGGCCTAAACGTACGGGCCACCATCGTCGACTTGGGATACAATCGAGGCAGCTATTCGTCGAGATGAGATTGTCATGGGCCAGACAGGCCGCAATTACAGGCCTCGTCGCTGTCGCCATAGCAGACGTCTTGCCGCCGGACGACATTCCACTCATGTGCGTGACGATCTGTGGTCCAATCGTCGAGTTGACAGCAAAATGTGATGTTCACAACCATCGCCTCGCGAAGCGACAGCCAAACCCCGAGTGGGTTCCAAAGTTGGCCGTGGAACCGCTCGAGGATGATGGACTGCACAAGAGAAGCTTTTCTATCATTAGGGCTGCACCGACGTCATTTCCTCCACAGTTCGAGCCTCAAGAGAGCACGACATCGTCAACTTCAACTTCAACGTCAAGGTCAACACCAACGTCGACTACCAAGTCTACGCCGGCATCAATGAAATGGGTTGCGGACGACACCAGTGCGGAGGAGCAGACAATGACAATGAGACGTACCTTGATAAGTTCATCGTTTGTCAGCTCGGAAGTAACTCAACCTACCAAGACTCTTCAGGGTGATTCTGGTACAGCGAGCATGACTAGTTGGGGGGCTAGTTTGCAGACCCAGTCATTAGTTCCAGAGGATGATCCGGAGAGGGAATGTGTATGCAACAACAAGAGCTTTGATGTGGCCAAGATCGCAGCGCTATGTCAAGACTGCATCGTCGTTGATGGACACAAGCAAAACAGTGAGTCTCCATGCTCAAACTCATTAATCAGCTGCTAAAGAAACAGACCTGGATATCATCGTGCGGTCATGCGGGTTCAAGCCGCTTACTTACACTCCTGACCAGGACAAAGCGGCGGATAACGTTCGGGTCGAGGCGACGCGACCGACTGCCATGGGTGCGAAGCAAGACTCGACGAATGCAGGTGCTGGATTAGAGTCTGGTGGTAATTGGATTATTATTTTCACTTCATTGTTAGGAATCGCCTTGGCGGTATGAGTTGCGTTCGATTTCAACACTTTAGATATGTAGATCATAGCGCTTGCGACAAGCTTTCCTTTCTCACTTATTATATCCAAGTTTAGATAAAACACTCGTTGAACGAAGACATCCTTGTCTATGACTATCATCTACTGGTTTGCGCGGTTCCTTCAGTGATAGCGTGTGACGATTGTATACATAGCGAGTGCTGTGCGTGAAGCAGAAGGTATCAAAAGTGTACAATTAGGTATTTTATGTCTATGATGGCTTCTTCTATATGCAACCCAATGCCCAATATTAACAGTTCATGTAACAAACATTAGGTACGTGGTACGAAACATCTCCAGAATCATGAGCCGCCGAAGCCCACTATGCATACTCCGTACACCCTCTTGTGTTCAAACTACCATGGCAGCCATAGCCGAGGCGACGAGTAGGCCCTATCATAATGTCAGTACAGCTTGAATTGACATAAAAGGGTAATGTCTTACCATTCCCCATTTACCAGGCCATAAGTAAGAGGCACCACTGTCGGTGTCCTCGATTCGAGCGACCAGCTTATCTCCGACACCACCGAGACTCTCTTCGAAGTCTTTGAAGTTTTTGGCGTCCCAGTCGGCACCGTCTTCTCCTGGCACAGCGTCGCTACCAGGGAAGGCGATATACAATACATCATCTTCATCGTGGCCATTGTCGCCGTTCATGTCATCACCGAAGCAAGCCGTTGCAAGGGAGATGGAGGCCTCTCCGACCATTGCTTCATCGCCATCATCGCCATTCTCGTCGCCCCAGATGCCGTAAAACTAACAAAGTCAACAACCATTCCGCGTTCAAAAGGAGTCAATTGTTTTACCATTTTGTCGCCGCATACAACAGCCATCACACTCAATGGCTTGATGCCGTGCTTTTGCGCATTGAAAGTTGGCCAGTTCTTCTTCGTACCCACGTTTCCAAACACCACGTAAGGATGAATATTGGCATCGAGGTCCTTCTGGTCCGTGCCATACGACTTGAGCTGGTCTTGAAAGGACGTGACAGATTGCGTGTCGCCTGATGAGCCACAGCGTCCATCATCTGCAGAACTGCCCTGGACTCCATCGCAGTCGATGTCCATGTTGACGAGCTTGCCCTTGGTGCCCTGGAGATATATCACATTGTAGTCCTTGAGATGGTCGCCGCAGTAGACGTATGCTGCTACTGATTAGTCGCGGTTGCAACTGCAACGCGGATCTTGGAAGGCTTACAGCCATCGTCGCCGTCGGCGCTGTGGAAGCCTTCTGCGAGAGTATCATTGCAAGAGCCTTGCTTTATGATGCTCTCTTTGAAAGCCTTGATGTTATCGGGGACATCGCGACTGGAAACCAGAGTGGCGATCGATGCGAAAAGGAGAAATCGAAGGGAACCCATGTCGATGAATCTGCGACCAAAATCAAGTAGCGAGCGTGGGGAAAAGGAAAGGCCGATCAAATCTATCGCGATAGTTGATATCTACCTGTCTTTATGTTTAAATGTCTATGGAAGCGTCCCCCTATCAACCTCGGGGCGAGAGTGGTTTTATCCAAGCAGCCCATTTTTTGCTTGCATGCAGGCAGTGATCCTCGTCCAATTTACTCGGAACCAAAAGTCATGGGCTCCCTACAGAGTTGCAAGCTGAGGGCCTAGGCTCCCTCTAGTGGGTAGCAGAAGAAATAACCTCACTTACTAAAACCTTATTAAAATTACTATTATTTTAAAAAGCTATATAAATTCTATAAAAATAGTTATTAAATAAATAAAACTCTTATTATATAATTAAATAGTTAAATTTATATTTTATTTACTTTTTTAATTTAAAATCTATTATTAAAAGATAGAAAATAGAAAATAAAATAAAGACTTTTTATATAAAAATTTTAATTTTAATTTTATAAGCTATATAATATAAATAAATAAATAAAAAAAATACTATATAAATCTATAAATATTAAAGATCTTAATAATATTTTTATAATATTTTTTTTCTTATTAAATAGGTTTATATTATAAGTTATAAGATTATAAGCTTTTACTAAAATAGGGTCATTTCTTATAATACCTGCAGGGTCCCTCCAAGGGGTATCATGGTGCATTATTCCCCGCCAAGACGGGTCGATCTGGTCTAGAACGGAATAATTTACTAGCATTAAGCATATTTATAACCTTTAGACCATCGGCTGTTGTTTTTTTGCTTCCACAGGGCGAGATCTTGCAGATTGGGAAATTAGTCCGCCTAGTTAAGATCCAGATTGGTAAGGCTCTCGTTTATTGTATCACTGCACTGCATTTCAACGAACCCAGTCAGTAATGATTGACGCGAGGGACAGATTAGGCAAATGAGACCAGAGATGTGATTCGCCGGGGCTATTATTCTTGTCAAGTTAGAATGGATATGAGACAGGGTTACCCTATGTTTCCTCACCTGAACCAACACATTCAGGTATACAATAGAAACCCACAATCGAACGAGCCAGGACATCACGAATTGATCTAATTTTCTCTGATGTTTCTGTGACCTCAAGATGTATAAACCTTGATGAGTTGACAACCGTTCATCATATCAAGCTTCAATCACGACCAATCGCATGGTTGTCCTCGCATCTGAAGCGCACCATGAAACAAAAACAAATATCATCAATGTTTTATTGACGTATATGACCTTCCAGAACTAGTGCTCCTAGATTAAGTTATATTTTACTGCCCTTTTCTCTGTGATCTTCAGTTTGCCATTATCCTATCGTCCGGCTTCGATATCTTATTATTGGCCCGAATCAATTCGTCCACAGCTCAATGAACCATCCTCGGCGGCATCCATAGCAATGAAGCAAAGAACCGGGCACTTTATGGAAATTAAAGTCAATCACATGGTTACTTCTTAACCTCAGAAATATGGACCCTATTGATCAATGACAGTTACACTTCTAAGAATTGGTAAGAAGTGCATCAATTCGTCCGTCTCGGCCTCCGCACGGCCGAACAAAATAGCTGTGAAACCAACACTGACGATCGTTGGTAACCAAGCTTCGTCCATGAATCCGTCCGTACCTCGACCGGAGGCCACAGATATATAAGAAAGCAGTGAAGATAGTTATACAGCAGAATATAAACCATCGGTGTTTCTACTCATTGAATTTACCAATATTCACAATGTCTGCTCAGCTCCAGCATAATGCCGCCTGGGAGGCCAGCCCTCTTGCATTCCTGTCCCGCCAATTCATCGAAGGAGTCCCCAAGACCCCCAAAGGCGTCACTCTTTCCGGGAAAACAGCTCTCATCACGGGCTCAAACGTTGGATTGGGATTTGAATGTGCTCGTCAACTTCTTGCTCTCGATCTTTCACACCTGATCATTGCTGTGCGGAACCAAACGAGAGGTGACAGTGCAGCACAGAAACTACGCAACGAGTTCCCAGAGGCAAAGATTGAAGTATCGTTGGTTGACATGGCTTCGTATAAATCTATCCAAAGCTTCGTCAAGTGGTGTGAGACTTTGCCTCGACTCGATATTGCCATACTGAACGCTGGATTGAGCAGACCTCAGTTTGAGCGATCGGACGAGTCCAAACATGAAATGACATGTCAGATCAACTACCTCTCCACTGCCCTCCTCGCTATCCTTCTTTTACCCGTCCTCAAGAAGAAGCGTGGAACTTCTGAGCCTGCGCATCTCGCTCTCGTTGGCTCTGACATGTCATACTGGGCTCATTGGACTGGAACAAGCGATACCATCTGGGATACAGTCGACGACCCTTCCACCTGGTCCAGCAATGGCGCCTATCAGATATCTAAGCTTCTTCTTATCATGTTTGTCGGAAAACTCTCCGAGTACGTCTCGCCCGACGAAGTCATTGTCAACTTCCCCAATCCCGGCGCGTGCAGGGGAACAGAATTTGGAACAGATGGTAAGAGGAGCAAGATTGAGCAGTTTTGGATGGGTATTGCCAAACCTATTGTTGGAAGAACAGTCTCTACTGGCGCAAGATCCTACGTTGATGCTGTTGCTGTGAAGGGCAAAGAAAGCCATGGCAGCTTTGTTGGCGAGGGCAAGATTAAGCCGTGAGTACTTTGAAGCTGACAGCGACGAAAATGCACTGATTGAATTTGAAAGATACCCACAGATTATGTACGAGCCGGTGGGAAAGGCACTTCAAGAGACGGCTTGGAATGATTTGATGAAGGAATTGAGTTTTGTGAAGCCTCTGGAAATACTCAAAGACAGCAACTGAGCTGATCTTTACGGACCAGGACTAGGCATGAATGCATATTAGGAAGAGCCAAAGGGATAGAAATAGGCAGAGAATGTAGTCAATGAAGTCAACAGTACTAAGCCTCGTCATCCGCGCTTTGTTTGATCTTGGTCAGCACAATCGACTCCATTGCTCCTCGCTTCCACCTGCTCAATGTCTTCAACGATAGTCGTATCGTCGTAGAATCGAACCTTTTTCACCACCTTCACTGACGGAGCGTTGCCCCCAAATTCGACCTTTTTGAAGTTGCCCTGGCCATGTAGTCTGGTTGCTTCCATTCCAAAGTATGTTCGCCATCGGCCGCTGTCGATGAAAGCAAGGAAAATGCCGAGTTGCAGATCTGTCCAACGAAGGATCGTCAGTAGGGCAAAGAGAGAGAAAAGGATGTAAAAGATAATGAGGCCCCATGGCATCGATCCATCTTGCTGAAGTTCTCCTTCGATATTCGACAATGTGCTGCTCTATTGGTTAGATGTAGTATTAAATATGTCGCTGAGATAGTGACGCACTGGTTCGAAGAGATGTACTCAGAATTGTAGGCTTCAAGGGGCATTTGATAGTTTCGAGAACTCATTCTGCTCATCAAGCCACTTGAATTGAACAGTCTGTTCATGATGAAGGAAAAGGGTTTTGTGATCCGTGCTTAGCCATGACCTGTCTCTCGTTTATACTTGTGAAAGAGGACACAAAGGATAAAAGGTCTTCTAATCGTCATATCTATACAAAAAGTTTCTTTCTTACACATGACTACCCCCAAACCTTCTTTCAACAGAAGTTCCTCCTCGATTGATATGTCCCGTTACAAGTCACTCTCCCAAACTCTCTCATTGAACTCTGTAATCCACCCCTCACGCCATAAATCTTGACCCCGTGTTACAAGTTTTCGCCAATAGGCGCCTCCGTTGGGTATGTTCTTGTTGTTCTTGTTGTTCTTGTTGGTCTTGTTGCTGCTGCTGTGGCGGGCTGTGCTGCTGTTGCTCTTTTCTTGTAGGAGCCAATCGAAGAATAGTTTGGAACCCGATAATTTCTTAGTACTTGTCTTTGCTCGTCATTTACGCAGCCACAGTTCTCAGCGTCATATGATGCTTCAATGGCGGCACATACGGTATGGTGAATATCGTCCAGTAGGTGCTCGTCCCTTTGTCGCTGGAAGAAGATGAAGACAACACCGAGAATGAGACCAAGGATACACACGGCTGTGCTGAAGGTCAAGATGCACACAGTTAAAAATCCGTTGCTGTAGTCCATTTTGGGCAACGTAGAAAAGGTATCTGTTGTGTTGCGATTGCTCGTAGCAGAAAATGATGGATGTGGTTTGAAGCGAATTGGTGAGCTGGAGCAGGAAGTTCTCAAGAAGAAGTTGTGATTTTAAATTGGCGTGAAGAAGAGTAACAATGTTCTGTGCACAGTTGACTTGTATTTAAATTGTGTGTGAAATCGGAGTGCACCTATATAAAGTTACTGAGTGCTGTGGTGGCATGTTTTTAGTTTTGGGATAAGACCTGTGGCAGAAATACTGAAAGAATGCGATGTGAACACACCCATCTATAGGCTTACAGGTGAAGGAGAGAGTTTAGTTATGAAGATCGAGTGAACTGTATAACATGCCAGGGTCCGGTTTCTCTGCAAAAGAGGCTTGGTGATGATATATGTAGAATAGACCGCCAAAGATAGTGTGCACTATGTAGTAAAACACAGAGGCGGTAGCTTGTAGTTGATTCCACCGGAAGCTATTCTTTTGCCTCTGGTTGTCACTGTCTGATTCGATTTGTGGGCAGAGAGGTGTCATCGTGGCCGCATTGGAAGACTGCGAGTAGGTGGCTTGGCCAGCTGATGCAACAGAAAGAGTTCATGATTTTTGATGATGGTATGGCTATCTGCCCCGTAACCTACATAAGAGATCCTGCTATGTAGAACTGTTGGTGTTTTCTCAGTTCCCTTGAGCATGGCACTAGTGACCTGTCATATGGGAGATGTAATTCACTAACTTACGAATTCTTTTCACTTAAGTCGAAACATATATCGAAGACGATATTTATGGTTTCATTCTGCTCAAAAACAGGGTCGATCAACAACTGGCCTCACCTGTTAGTCTCACCAGACTCTTCCTCCTTTTTGGACCTGCACTATCCTACTATATTGGTACAGCTATTGTTTTCAAAAACTCTTATACTGCGAAACATGACTGAATTAGGAAGAAGAGCCCAACTTTCGCGCGAACACAGGCAAATCTGCACTTATTCTAAGGTAATGCTGAAGTTCAAAGAGCAGCCACCGAAACACAGAGAAGGGAGCTCATTAACGATATGTAGCGACGGTCACTTACAGACAGGCATATATATGCCATCCCTAGATTTCTACGTCTTGCTCGGTACCGGTTTCAGGTTCCTCAGTCAAGGTATAGATTGTTCAGTCTTGTCACCAACAGCCGTGGCTGCAATATGAGAAGAGTTGCATTTCGTATCCGACTGTCATGTTGCATTCACTGTTAGCAATATACATAGTCTGAATTGATGCTTAGATGTTGTCATGGTTCTCGCTCACGTTGTGAATCAGAGTTCAAGTAATGGCTTGCCTCATCGGCCTAACCCCGACATCTTGCATTGGCTGAAACGGTAACATCGCTGCGTTCACACGATGCCACTTCCAATCGCAGACATGCACGAGTCAGAAGACTCGATTGGTTGGACCGTACTCCATCTCTTAGAGTTTAATACCCGGAAGCTACCACGAGTCGAAATATCTTGGCGAGAGCTGCTGTGTTTGATGGATGTTGTCAATTACACAAATATCTTATCAATCTCCGCCGGCTTGAATGCTATATACATCATTAATATCGTGACCCGGTTAGTAGTGGTACAATGAATCGAAGGCCAACAAGACAAGACAAGACAAGACAAGACAACACAATACCATACAGCAAAGACGTGAACTTGATGTGCCAGCATCAACACAGCACCCAAATGGATATCACCTCCCAAAAGGCTTGGCATATCGTTCGACGGTCCCAGATGCTCCGCCAAGTCCACAAATTCTTCCCCAGTCAAGCTCAGCTCGGCTTCACAACACGCACATAGTCCAGCTCCATCGTACACGTTGTCACCCACTTCTCCCCAAGGAAAGGAAGAATCTCAAATTTTCAGCAGCGCATCGTTATCAATAATGCGATCCTTGTAGCCCTCGCAGGCCACCTTGACAAAAGCCCTGGCCATCTGCGCAACTTCAACGCCGTGAGCCGAGCGACCGCCTACAAGTCTTCTCTTCTTGGGCGCGTCTGGGGTGACGATGGCGCTGGGTCTCAAGATCCAAGCGCTAAATGTTTCAGGGCTGGCGTCTGCAATCTCGCATAGACCCTTCTCCGCCTCGGACTTTGGTTTCCTTGGGTCCCCGAGCGAGAGCAGTGAAGATGCCTTTGAGTTGGTCTTGTTGCTGCACAGGACAAAGTTGAACTTGTTGCCTCCTGGTGTCTTTGGCGCTATGCGCTCGCTCAATGTTTTTGCCGCCGTGAGCGGTAGTTCCACGTTGACGTGGTGAAGAAGTGCCTTGTCGTGGCTGAGATGATCTGGCCGTGCTCCAATGGCCCTGGGTGAATGATCAGCCTCTCATGTTTGAGCAGTATGAAGACTGATCTTCAGAGATGGAAAGAGACTGTCTTTCTTACCATAAACACGCCGAAGACCCTTCAAGTCGCCGCAGAACCTGATCTGAATACCTTGCGAAGTCTTGAATCATGATAACATCCGCCTTTGGGTGACTCTCGATGTCCATCGAGACGGCCTTTCGAGTGAGAATAACGACTTTTGTGATGCGCGCGTCCGCGAGACAGTGTTTGACGATCTCATTGCCGACCATCCCGGTCGCCCCTGTAACCACAACCTTCATCTGTTGAGTAGAGTATCGCAGAAAATGACTTGAATCGATGATGCAGTCGCCTCTAGAGGAGAAAAAGAAGAAGAAAAGAGAGTGTTTGACGGATAAATGAGTGAATGAGTGATCGAAGAATGATGGGTATTCCGTAGGTAGCCTCAGAGATGATCCTGGTCTTGCGGGCCTCTCTCGCCTTGCTATACTACTAAGGGCAAAAAATTAAAAAGGGCCGGAAACAATAAATATTATTAGACAAGCAACGGGGGGGAAAAGGGACAGTGGTGGCAACGGAGAATATGATGAATGTCGCTAATTGAGATGGCTCTTATGAATGAATGGTACCTCGTGCATTCATCTTGATCTTGCATCCATGGCTTGGAGGCAAGAAATCATACCTACCTAGGTAGTTATGGATTCAAATAGGTATGATCAGCCACGCAAGAGAAAACCCACACTTGACCTCTTGAGGAAGAGAGCTAATACCTTATAGCGAAGGAGTATTGCCGGCAGCCCGATCTGACCACGGCCATGGATGTTCCATTGACAGTGACAGTGACAGTGACAGTGACAGCTTCTAGCGACTCTTGGCTCTGTTGCCGAGCTACAAATACCGCGCGCGGGTAGATCCTTGTACTGTATGTAACTCATTGCAGTATGCAATGTACCTGCTAACCTAGGTAATTTTCAACGACTCTAACGAATTGCTCTTCCTCGGTCCTGTCTTTAGATCGACACTTTGCCAGCCAATCCTCTGAGATCCGCCGGCTTTGGCACGGAGATACGATGCAGAGCCTGTCACTGCCCAGAAAGTGGCTGTTTGACGCCAAGACCCGTCTCAATTTTGCTCTGGCGAGTGACATAGACTATCGTGACTATTGGCTGGACTTTACTCAAATCTGTCATTATTATTTAATGTGGATATTTGCGTTATATTGGCTGAAATATTCCGCCATGAGGAGTATGGCAATAAGACAGACCATCACCACCAGCAGCCCAATATTCACAGGCTAATACATTTTTTATCTGATGCCATCGACAGAACTCGTTAGACCTCAACCCTTCTGTGCCGATCATCCGCTTTGCCGACCTGCTATGCCCAATACTGCAAGTACACGTTTCATTCTGTAATGAAACATGGGCACCCGCGCGTCTGGCGACGTTATCAGCGTTACTTTGTTGAGCGTGACTTGTGGAAAGGAGATGCCGACCGGTATAGGTACCTGTACAGGAGGTCTGTACTGTATTACCTTCATTTCCCAGCGAACGCCTTGGGAGTAAGCAGAAGTTTGTTTCATCCCACTTCCCGTGATGAGCAATGCCTGGGTACTTGGCTGAGGTAGGTAGCCTGCTAGGTACCTAGGCCAGCGTCAATAAACAATTTAGAGACGCAAATAAGCTTCCTTTTTGTAAATAAACAACGACATGCCGCGCTTTCAAGCTCCGCAAGATCGACCTGACGCTGGATATTTCGGATCCGAATCGGATCCGGGGCTGATTTCGATGCTGGGGCAGTTACAGTGAACGGAACCAGTCAGTTACGTGAGCGAATATACGAATATATCAAAGTTGAACAACTCAATTATTATTCCATTTGGATATCAGATTCTTGAATTCTTGAATTAATTACTTAATTTACTAACCAACTCGGCTTCCCTCCAAGTTGTCGGCCGCGCTCTTGCTTCGAGGATCAGACTCGTTGCCGTAGTGGTTCGCGTCTCCTCCCAGAGCCTCGATCTCCTTCTTGCTGTTCTCCTTGCTGGCCTGGCTGGTGTCTACCGATCAATGTTAATAGCTGGAGGCGACGCTCCTTTAAAGAGGGCTCATACTGGGGTTGGAAAGGTTCGCCTTGTGGCCCTGGATCTTGTGGGAGATCTCTTCGCCGCCCTCGCGAAGCTCCTGCATGTCATTCGAGATGACGGATCGGTCTCCAGCGGAATTCATTTTGGTGATATTGATATTGATTGATTGATAGATCTTGTAATAGTCTTGGTCTTTTGCTACATGTCCTGTATTGACTTGTCCTCTTTATATACCTAGGTACTTTCCTCTTCCATACACTTACTTGTTTCTCGGCATGACATGCCATGACGTTACAGCATGAATATTGTTAAGGCTCTTATGTCATGCTTGGCCTGAATCAAGGACATCTCCATGTCCCACATACTTGGCTCACCTTCCAGGTGTGGCGAGCGATGCATTCTGTGTGGCTGGATCTGTCCAGTTTGAGGGGTGGGATGACATAGCTTGTTGCGCCCATGGAACCGGGGTGAGGCTCGAAATTAATTGGAGCTATCACCACCAAGATCTTGGCTGAAAGTGGTCGCGTTATTTTGGACTGCACCCCTGGCTGATCCGCCATCTCGATCACTTCAACGACCATCCTGTAATACAGATACAAAAAGCAACGGACTATGCACTTTTTGAAGCCATGAAACATGTTCAGGACGCCACTTTCGACTATTACACTGGCAGTCGTTGCACAAATTCCGGAGAGAAAGAATGTCGTAATCTTCCAGCTTGTGACATACAGTTTCGTCACACGCAAACAAACGGGTTTGGTTTCCTGTGACAGGTTGCAGAGTCATTGCCGTTTGCAAACCCCAGGCTCTGCTTGGCATATCGAAGATACAGTATATTCGGTGATTGAACAATTGGATTAAAACATGCTAGTATTGAGTTGATATGCCTTATCCACTTGTTCTAGATACAAACACAAATTATACCCTGCCCCGTCTCCCTCCAGCTGCGAATACCAATACATATGAAGAGCTTGCTCTGAGTAATCGCCTTAGGGAATGTATGGCACTATTACTTAGGAGCCTGCAGTTCTTGTAGCTGATAGAATGAGACTACGGATGACCTGACTCTAAACCAACGCTATATGTTGAAGCCCTCAAAATATATTTTATGCCCAATTCTCGGTTCAACTCAATTACGGTCTGGCGAGGCTCAACTCTGTCTCTGGAACAATGCTCGAGTGACGATTGATGCGATGTTCTGCACCTGTACTCATTTCCTGCGGAAGTGTCGTACTACCAACCATTTCTGAAGCGACATCCATCTGTTGGTTGTGACTGTGATTGTACTGTTGCTGGTACGGAGGAAGAAAGTTGGGACTGTGTGCGTGTTGGGAACTGTGCTCCGGCAGGTATGTGAAGGATTGCGGTTGTTCAGAATGAGAAATATTCGGAAAATACTTTTGGAACTGTTCAATGGAGGATATACCGCTATTGTGTGGATCCATAACCGTGGGAGATGAAGTGAATGACTCTACGTTTTGTTAGTGTTAATCTCCTTCTGGACGAGTCTACCCACGCTGATAGCCACTCATGGGAGATTGGGCGACGAATGTGCTCGGATGGATAGGACCACTTGGAGGCGGAAACGGATTCGATGTAAGTGTCGGTGCAGCTGGAGGCACACTATAACCTGGGTCGTGTTCTCGTTGATGCTTGTTCTTCTGTCGGGGCTTCCACCAGAAAAGCCAGGCCACGAGAACGAGGGCAATCAGACCTCCGACTGACGCACCCACAGCGATGCCGGCAGTAGCTCCAGCTCCCAAGCCATCGCCCTCATTTGCATCAACTACAGAGGTGCTCGAGGCTGTGGTAGAGGCCGTCTCGGACACACTCGAGGTAGTAGAGCTTCGACTTTGGCTAGGGTGAAGAAAGTTGAGTCTGTTATCCTCAATTTCAGATAACTTAGCCGGCACAAGCTTTGCCCTTGGACACTCTGAGCTACAAGCGTTCTGGCTGCAGCATCCCAGGAATGGCGGTTCGGTATGGGCACACGAGTACCAGTTGTCAACACCTTGAGAGTTGTCACAGTCTTGCTGGGGAAGCTGAGAGTATTTATCAGAGTCGAAGGATGTTGCACGTAAATCGCCATCAGGGCAGGTTCCGTTATTCCTGCCACATGGATCATTGACACAACAACCTATAAACTGCGTATCGTCATCTTCACAGATGTAGAAACTGCCTCCGTAAGGGCACGAGAGACCCCAATGCGTATGAGCCTCGGACATGGAGCTTTGAAATAGAGTATTGAACCTCGAAAAGGATTCTGATGAAGTGCAATGTTTGTTATGGTAGCGTCTCAAGACGAGTTCTGGAAGCCTCTGAAGAAGATGAAGCAGGATGACTGAGGGCAAAGGTAAGAGTAAGGGATCAGTAAAGCCCCCGACTTTCAACTAACATGGGACCCTCGCTTGTTGCCGTCGAGTGACAGTATCAGCTCACGTAAGTAGCCTCTTTCTACTTTCAACGCACAGCCCGCACGGGAATGCACCTGAGAGATTGTGGGCAGCATGGGTATAACTGGACGGAGTCCGGACGACATCTATGCCTATCCCTCCAGCTGGGACAGGCCAGCTCAGCATACGGCTGCGAACCCCAAGTATTAGTCCACATTCGTGCCCCAGACCAAGCAGTCAAGACTTGTGGCGACTTTGGCAGCGGCAAGTTCTAGAGCTTGTCCGACCAAGGGCTTGATGCTGTGAAACAGCACCAGGCTGTGATGAGATTTCATTGCAGCTATTACCAGAGGCAATGTTGGCTTGAGTTAACTCTATGTGATATTCACTTCCAGTGCCAAATATAGGATCTTCTTGAGCCGTCGGTGCCGCATTTGGAGACAAGGATGTTCAGCTCAGTCACCAACCCTTGCGCAACTTGTGTCACTAGGTCATCACACACACGCCGAACATTGTAGGCGATGAGAAAAAGCACGGTGAAGCGTATTCCTTTGCTTAATTTGGCTCCTGAAAAGAATGGAAAAGACTTGGCCAGGATACTGGATCCATTGTATCAGGGCTAAGACGTAAATAACTGCGCTATGGTCTTAGTAAAACTATGAATAGCATCCTATAATACCACCATAAGCTTAGATATAGAGCTCAACGATGCTTGGCGACGGCAAACACTTTCATCTCTTCTGTTGTCAATGAGCATGGCACTTGCATGTGGCTTTTTGGTATTGGTTTTGACGTTCATCCCGAGCCTTTTATGAAAGCGTGGTTCCAGCTTTGCTTGCTGCTGTAGCCCTTGGCCATTGAGGCAGTGATTCCATAGCGCCCATCCGACTTTTGATACGCCATCAGCCGTGCATTGCTCCTCCTAGTCGCAATGAAGATGATCGGAAACATTCCATCTCCAAGACCAAACAAGGACATTGAAGCAATATCCTCCGTGTTTGTCGTATCTCCAGCTTCAAATGCACGAATTCCATAGTGTGCAAGGTGATCACCAAAAATAGACCCCTCTTTGTTGTCACCTCCACCGCATTTCACGTCACAGCCTTGTTTGTCTGACTTGATGACTTGGTTAAATGATGCCAAGGTACTGGTGCCCAAGTAGACAGCACAGATCACAATTTGCACCATATCCAAGAGGCGCTTTTGCGAAATTAAACCGCAAACCAACAAAAGAGTTTTCCCTGCATATGCAACGCCCGAGGCTGCCAGAATATGACACCTCGAATTACATGCCGCAAGATGAAAGGACACAGACTTATTGATTAGAAAAGTCGGCTGGCTTTGATTATGCTTGATTCAGTTCCATTACCTTTTTTCTGGGCAATGGTGCAGGCGAGAACGGGTATCTGCGTGCAGTCTCAGCATCCCAGAAGCAATGTTTATCGCGGCGGCAGCCAGTGAAGCTACCACTCGTCAAGGATGCTTGAGAAAGAAGCTGTCCCCAAAAGGAACGCTAGATGCTAGTGTCGGGTGATCAGAGTTGATTTCTCCGCTCTTGGACAGGAATTGTATCTTCGTTACTGTCGAAAGGGCCGATGGTATTTCGTCAGATGTTACTTCATGCAACGAGAGTTGGCGTGTGTAAGCAAAGCATTGGACCAACCACCCTTTCATCGCCATTCGCATCATTTGCTTCATGACTGCTGAACTCTTCGAATTGCCCATCAGTCTCGTCATGATCGATTGAAAAACACTGCGCCAAGAACCATTCTGAACAAAGGAATGCACCGAACGGCTCAGCACAAGACTCTGGCTTCCAGGCCCACCAGCATTTAGGAGCCGGGGGGTGGCAATGGATGTCTGTGAACGGAGCTCATGCGTTGGCTCAAACTCCGGGTTGATCGGCAAATACCTGCGGCAGCTGCTCACCCTGAACCCTTTGTCCAAGTTGCGCCACAAAGGACCACGCAGCGCGGGAGATGCTCTGGCTGAGATCACCTGGCATTATGATCTTTAGGCGACTCTGACCGAGCACGAACCCAGCGCAGGAGATCTGAGTAACATGTACGGCGGGATGGAAAAGATCAAGCGCAAGATGGTGATGTAGATAGAGTCCCAAGGCTTCCGTAAAGGGGGATGCTTCGGAAGGACCCTTTGTACGCCAAGCCCAGCCGTCATCTGTGTTACCTCCAGCAAGCCTGCGTCGTTCACGGGCGTCTCCTTGCCAAGAAGCATCAACTGGGATATGGCTCTTGTCACCAGCACGCGCAAAGCGGCGAAGGTCTTGTGCAGATATGGTGATATCAACAGATCGAAGCCCTGGGTTAGGCTTGGTTTCTTCTTGAGTTTGGGGTTCGTCGATAGCTGTTGGGTCCTCGCTGATCTGAAGCGAGACGTTGAATGCAAGTGTTATGGTGAAGTCAATACCTCGGTCGTTGAGACCTTCGTTTACGATCCAGCTTTCCCATACTCCGAGAATAGTCTTAGTCCCCATTGTTATCCGACTGACGCGACAGTCGAAAGAAGCAGCAAGCCAATTTGCCACAACGGTCTTGAGTTGCTGGGGCATGCGCATCAATAATAATGGCAGATGTAGAAACCTGCTTTGATCGTTCATTTGCCGCGACTGTGAGGAATCTGATAGCCCAGGTAGAAGAATCGCAGCATAAGCAGCATTCTCATGCTCTATGCTTATCCAGAGCCCTTGTTTCTGGTCGTCTGGAAGGTCGCTCTGGTCGCCGCGTGGAGCTTCGAGGTCGAGATCAGGCGCGTCTTCACCCAAAAAGGTACTGGCAAGAAACCATTCGATTCGGACACCCTTGAGAGTACCAACTTGACCAAAAGATGTATCTGCTGCCTCCAGACTGAGTTGAATGCCACGAACTACATCACCGACAAGGGTATCACGAAGGCGACGGGCGATGACCTGGAGCCGTTGGCCTGCGAGACGCGATTTCCCAATGTGCATGGGGGAAACGCGATGAGTTGAGAAAGTCGTGTTGAAGAAGGGCGGAACCGCTTCATCGTTGGTGGTTTCAGAGGCGGTATTGAGCGACTGCGCTGGGGATTGCTGAACCTCTGCAGACGCAACGCCTTGAGCACTCAGGCGCGCCATCTTTGCAACCAGGCCAGTATTTTCTCAGTGCTTGATGCCTTTGTGCTTCTGGTGTCTGAACTGATTGTTGGCTTGCTGCTATTGTTCTGGTTTGAATCTTGAATGTGGGGGCTTGAAAGTGTGTCAGACGCGTCTTTGGGAGCGCTTTTGTTGAAAGAAATTAACAAAGAATGAGGAGAATCGAACCATGAGATTCCATACGCACCTGAGGTAGTTCTTCAAGCCATAACCCCACAATGTCACAACATTTACCTCATGGCAGAGAAATCTCTGTAAGATCGGTAGGCACCTCGAGATGAAAGTTGGTGCGCACCATCCAGGCTGGCTCGAAAGAACCTTAACGATCGCGTAGATGTGATGACTAAGCTTGTAGAGGAATGATCACATCTTCTTTCCTTGCAATTCAACTCACCGTTTCCCTTTCATCTCCCATCATTATCGGAGAGAAACTTAGCTACCTATTAGCGGAGGCAGACTCGACTTTCCATGAATGCTTTCTGATCGCCCTCATAGATGAGATATTCATCATTTCTCACCCTCAGGTGCGGTCCTGGGGGTTAAGCCTCACTGAGACATGCCGCTGAGTGTGCACCGGCTCTGTCTGCTTCAGAACAAGGTCTATCCCACTTCAATATGGACAGCCGTCCCGAATAGTGGCCGCATTGTCCAGTAGCCATGAATGCTAAACAAAGGCAACATGTCGTCAATAAGCGCCTCTAATACCAATTTTGGGTCATTGAGGTGCCTCGACTTGTGCTCTCGTCCCTTGATAGTTCAATAAGTTTGTTCGATCGACCAACACTGGACCAGCCACTCGGACTCGAAACAAAGGAGATGACAGACGTCAGTGATCCTCACGGTATCTGAGTTTCGAAACTCCAACTGCCCGTGCATCTAATGTGGCCTATGGAGAGGATTGAGAAGACAAAGGAGTGCCCTCAAGAAAATCTGGGAGTGCCATTGTGAGGGTCTGGCAAATGTATCTGGACATAACTATGGCGTTAAATCAGTGAGTAGAACGGATACTAACACACAGCACTGAATGATCGTGAGCTGCCCAAAAGTCCCCTGGTGGTTGTGTTTTCTTTGTCCCTCCAAATTCTATCGTGGACTTAAGCTTCCGATCACGCTCTTCAGATGTTCATATCAACCAGGCAGCCTATAAGTCTGACAAAGGTCTTCAAGAGAGATACTGCGACTGCTCGAGACTATCGACATTGTTCTTTGGGAACTCTTCCTAAGCGTTTTCATCTGCGAAAGGTCTGAGTTTAATATCGGGAAACCTTTCTTTACCCATTGTCTCTACAAACGAGTCAATCCCCTTACTAAGACAGCATTTGAACCATGAAACAGCTCTCAACAAGGGAGCTTGCATATCATAATGACCGACGAGTGCCAGGAACCAACTGAATACGAATACTCGAACTACCATGTCAAGTGGCTCGGGAAAAACTACAAGCTAGGCGATCCAACGCATGGAACGGTCCTGGATGCGGATCTCGAAGACCTTGCTAGGGAGGAGCATCTTCGTGCGAAGGAAACGATACACGGCCAATCTATGAGAAGTGCCCGCGCCCTTTGTGCATTTCATGGTTATGGAAGAAACTCTGTGTGGCCACCATTTGATCCTGGAAGGCCCACCGAAGAGCTTTTGGAAGAATTGAGGCATGTCAACCAGTTTGTTCAATCGGAATGGTCGAGATGGAGTGAAATCGTAGTCGGCAAAGAGCGAGAGATCCAGGAGATCATCATAAACCTCACTGATGGAAAAGTCAGAGACCGGGATGGGAAGAATCTATGCATTCAAGACTGCCTGGAGGAAAGCTGGGAAGAGACCAGAAATGTGTTCAATGCCGAGTATACCAAACGCCATTCAAAGTCAAGACCCGTTCACATGGAGAGTGATTTCAGCCTGGATCCTGAAGGCTATATCAACCCCAACCATTCAAGTGATCTCGACGAGTTTGCCCATGAATATCTCCGCAACATCAGAGTCAACTTCCACTGGATGAACAACGGTGAACCGAAGATACTCGAGGAAAAGAGACAGTACCCACTCTATCGCAGTACGGCCAATTATCGCGACGACAGGAAGGCTATGGAAGACGCTATCATGGACGATGTCGAGTTCCGAAATTTGAGGAAACCGAGTCCAGACCCTGCAGCAGACGCCTCCGAACTAGCCGGGTATAAATTGGAAGTAGAAGATGCACTGCGAAGGCAAAGAGCTCATTTCTTGGTCTCGCACATCAACAAGGAAGATCTTTCTATCCCACTCAATATGCTCATGTTCATCCACTATCGGGCCCGACTTCATCCAATTGACTTTGCTTTCCAAGATAACAATCGTATGCACCTAGGAAAGCAGTCCCATATTTTGTCAGGCGCTTGCGATCCTTCGTTTTATGTCATGTTTGTCCCAGTAAACGACCATGAGCACGAAAATCCATACCGAAGAGCTTGGTGCGAACCTCGGATTTTTTCCAAGCACTCACCCGAGATGGATGAAGATAGGTTTGAGGACTTGCAATCCGCAGGGCGCATGTTCGGTAGCATGGAAGCATGGCTTATACTGCAGTCCCAAGCTATTACATACCTCTTCTTGGCTGCTTTCTGCAGACAGATGCTAGATCTGGCAAAGCATGAGCTGATTACAGGCCACATTAACCGACTCAGCAAAAAGGAGATCCTGGAAATTGAGATTTCAGCAATACAAAAGATCAATATGCTGAAAGAAAAGAAGGGAGCCGAAACAATGCAAGACATCGCATCCATTCGACAATATGAACCAAATTGCACCGGGTTCAACCTGCAAAGGTATCGCACTAAGCTCAAGGACAAAAGTGCGGCGGCTGAAGAACACATCATGAACCTTTTTGACGACCCTGTCTACCTGACCAAATACATCGCGGAACAAAAGGACCATCATTGGACTAATATTGTCGAAGACTCAACGTATCTGCCGAACGAGTACTCTCAGAGCTACCATGATCCAACTTTGCGTAACGTACTATATCGAAGTTGCATGAGGAGTGTACTGAGAAGGGCCTTTTTCGAGTTCTTCATATGGGAAGCCATTACAAATGCCTTGGAAGATTTTGAAACCTTCGAACAGGAGACACTCAAAGAACCACCCAAGATGGAAGAATTCGGGTACTTCAAAAGGACTGCTGCACCTAGACCTCATGTTTCTGAAGGATTTGGTACCTATACAGCAAAATACCTTCAAATTCAGGAGTTGATCCGGCACGCCGCGGCTTTCTTCATCTTCGCATTCCGTAAAGAAGCAATCCATGCCGCTTCTGAGCCCATGCGCAACACCTACCTTACCATTAAAAGGCCAGAATACAGGCAGGATTGGTTGATCAGAGAATACTATGACAGCGAAGACATTATGCTTGACTTCCAAGAAAAGGCTTTGCACAGTGACCGAGGGGGAAAACATCGCATCGTGGCTGGGCTTATTGAGAACTTCATTTCGAATAAGCATTCCTCCATGTATGTCGGCATCCGGAAGACTACGGATAAAGTAAAGAGACATATTGAAGCCCACAACCGTGACGCTGGGCCAGAAGACAAGTTCTCAAATCTGATCAGCCAAACAATCGATGGTTTGGATTTACTTGCCGATGTTGCAGAGCATCTGGAGCTTATTCCTGGCATGTCCCGCAAATCTAACGAATGGACGAAGGAGTCCGAGAAAGACTTTCGCGAGATGGTTTCTAGGATGCTCCAGGAGTTTTCATCTTATGACCTCTTTGCGCTCGACAACTGTGATTTCCGAGACAAACATGTCCCTGCTAAACGGACGCATCGAATATTCCGCTTTCTCGACGAATTGCAAGGATTCGATGTCAAAGAACAGGAGATGAGCTATGGCAAGGCGAAGGGCGACATCAAGCGCTTTGGTGCATCTCTTCTCCGGGGGCTCATATATCCATTGAATGAAAAAGACAATGAGCTTATATATAGGCACAAAACCTGGGGCACGAGTATCAAACCACTTTATGATAGAGGGAAAGTATTCCCAGCAAATGGACGGGCACTGGAGCGTTTGACGAAATGCATGGGAATCACCAGGGAGCAATTCACCTTTGCCGAAACTGAGCATCCTCTCGATCTTGATGCCCAAGGATCCAACCGCATACAGAAGACCTCTGAGGAGGATAGAAAGATCAGATCGGAAATATGGCTAACCTTCAGGGAAAGGATGACGAAACATCGGCAAGAGCAGAAGAAAAAGCAGGGATATCAGAAGAAGCGCAATAAAGATAAGGTACGGCCGCTGAAGCCGTCTGAACCATACAGGGTCAGCAAGGATAATAAGGGAAAGGCGCCTTTACGAACGACGGGGAATCAATTGCGAGAAGAGATGAAGGCGGGCGAAGATGTAGAAATGGAGGACGTGGGCTTTGAAGTTTCACCCATGAATGATCGAACTCAGCCCCTGAATGCACCACAGGATATATTCAATGCTCGACCGGCCCGTGTGCGTCCTCCGAGCACATACAGGCCTCCACCTCCAAAGCCGGCACACCGTACAGAACCTGTTCTGGATCCTAAGCTGGCACCAGACGGACTGCCCAAGGGGGAAATCAACAAGCATGCATGGGAGACACTGAAGTCACTCACGTTGCGGAAAATAACATACACCAACGCTCAGGGCAAAAGGGTTACAGAAGAACTCCCAGCGGTGAGTTTGAACGATGTTGATAGTACATTTCGCGGCGAGCTCGGGTTTCGTCTGGAATTTGGCAAGGGTCGGCACCGTAAGTTCATATGGACTGAGGATTGTGTATGGCCAGAATCGTGTCGGTTGAAGAATTTCAACTTCAACCCTGACAAAAACGCGACAAGAGGCTCGGACTTGATACAGGAAACAATGAAAAATTGGAGCTTATGTTTGGAGGATGCTGGAATTACTTGGGGCCTTGTAAAGCAGTGGTGTACACAGAAGAAGGGGGACAAGGAGACATAGTTAGGATTTTGGGTTCCAAGAAGCTGTTAGAAAGCTACCCGCCTGTTTTTCTTTTTGTTCGTGTATCTATTTTATCGACTTCTTTTTGTTTACCTGTTGTTGTGTCTCGTTCTCAGTCGCAAAACGTGATCGAAATCACAATCACGAGTTCATGTTGTTCTCAAACAAGTGCACAAGATACGTCCAGTTGCCAACAACAGGTGTGCAGTGCAATCAGTAGGTACTTGTAATGGCTAAGAATTCTTTCTGGCTTAGAACTTGGATTGTTTACACTGAGGGGAGACCCATCATGAGTCGTCTCTCAAAGATCCACGAAGTGCTCAAAAGGGTCCCCGGCCTTTTATCATGATTATATCATATCTTGATAATTTGTGAGTCAGAATATCCCCACGATTATCTGACACTTATCAACCTATGAAGGGCATCCAGCATGAATACATACAAGATTCTCTCCTTTCATCATGGTTGCTACCCCTCATGACAACTTTGAGATGGAGTCTTCACCACAAAATACCAACCAACGTTAGCATTAGATTACACTAAGTTCGTCTTCTCCATATTCCTCCTAGAAGCCCCAGGAATTGGGTAGGTACAGCCGGGCCAATAATACACAAGAATCGTCTGTTAGTAGTAGCAATAAAGCACTGACTCGAGGTAACTAGGCTAGGGGAGGAAAGAAAACTCAGGACCTTAATCCTAAATGACAAAAAGACTTGGGTAATTTTACAAGGAATTTAGGATATCATTTGCCGAGTTTATTCTGACACCTCATATCAAGATCCGGTGTTTTCTTGCCCCCAGAGGGTAGGCCAAAAGCTTGCACGCCATGAGTTACCAAAGGCGAAAAAAAAAAAGTCACTGATATCATTCTCAGGTGAACCCACATCGCAACAACAGCACCTAGCGCTAACAAATGCGGGCTTTTAGTCCCTTCAATGGGGCAATGACGCCTTTTGACGTGGGGCAGTAATGGAAATTGCCCCGCGGCGTCTCTCTTTAGGTTGATTTGCGTTGGTGACAGGCACGGGCAGTTTGCGGTTGGTGTTTCTGTAGAAGCTTCTCGATCCATGCTTTGACTAGCGAATCAGCCTCTGTGAAAGCTCTTCGGAGCTGCCCATTCGGGCATCATGAGTACCCTTTTAGTGCAACAAGTCATAGTTACCTGTTACAGCTATCCAAGATGTGAGGAGTGTGGTGGGGGAGGGAGCCGTCACCACCAGGGTTCTCGATGGCATTGGAGAACGATCAAGATGTAAATGTGGATATCTATGGCGATAGCAAGTCCTGTCCTGTCCTGTACTGGGTCCTCGTCTGGTGTCATACCGCGTCCACGTTCACTAACATTACCTTACCTGCCTTACTCTTGCGTTTCTGGCGGTTGTTGCAGCTACGCAAATCTTGTTATAAACCCCTCCACCTCTCCTCTCCCACGTTCACCTTTCCCTCATTTCTCTGTTTCCCATTCTCATCTCACACTGACACAATCCTCTCACATAACACACTCACCCAAACAAACAACCGCAACCATGTCTTTCGGTCGAACTGTCACCCTCAACTCGGGCCACAAGATGCCCCAGATCGGCTACGGCACCTGGCAGGCTGCCCCAGGTGAGGTCGGCAACGGTGTCTACGAGGCCCTCAAGGCTGGCTACCGCCACCTCGATCTTGCCAAGATCTACCAGAACCAGCGTGAGGTCGGCGAGGGCATCAAGAAGGCTCTCAACGATGTCCCCGGCCTCAAGCGTGAGGACATCTTCATCACCGGCAAGCTCTGGAACAACAAGCACCGCCCTGAGGAGGTTGCCGGTGCTCTCGATGACTCCCTCGAGGAGCTTGGTCTTGACTACCTTGATGTGAGTCCAGGCTTCATTTACTCGTTTCCGCGCACAGCTAACCACTCCACCAGCTCTGGCTGATCCACTGGCCCGTTGCCTTCAAGAACGGCCCCGAACTCTTCCCCCTAAAGGCCGATGATAAGAACAAGACGGAGCTTGACCAGGGCGTCACCCTGTCCCAGACTTGGGAAGCCGTTACCAAGCTGCCCAAGGAGAAGGTTCACTCAATTGGTGTCTCCAACTTCTCCATTGACATGGTAAGTTTCCGCTATGCCTCGCCCCAACCCGTGGACAAACAACTGACCCCCACTAGCTTGAGACCATCATCAAGGACACTGGTGTCACCCCCGCCATCAACCAAGTCGAGCGCCACCCTCGTCTTCCCCAGCCCGAGCTTGTCAAGTACCTGAAGGAGAAGGGTATCTACCTGACCGCCTACTCTGCCTTCGGCAACAACTCATGGGGCGAGCCTCTTCTCATCAACACCCCCGAGGTCAAGGCTATCGCTGAGCGCCTCAGCAAATCCAAGGGCAAGGAGGTCACACCCGCCCAGGTTATCCTCGCCTGGTCCACCCTCGACAACCACATCGTCATCCCCAAATCCGTTACTCCCGCTCGTATTCGCAGCAACTTCGAGGAGGTGGAGCTTGACGAGAAGGCGATCAAGGAGCTTGAGAAGTTCGGCGATAAGCCCCAGCGTTTCAACATCCCCAAGACCTGTAAGTCTCGATCCATAATCCCAAATACCTGAATTTCGATTAACATCTTCCAGACTCTCCTGATTGGGACATTGATGTTTTCGGTGACGAGAAGGAGAAGACCGCTACCCACAAGGTTGTTCTCAAGCTGTAGAGGCTTTCATGATACCAAGTTATGATGCATGACGACATAGAATTTATCAGTTAAAAGGTTGAGCGGATGAAATCTTGACCGTAGAGAAGAAATACAAAAATTAATGATCATCATATCATCTCTCCATCCTATAATACAGTGCTTACACCCTGACAACTGCCGAGCGAATCATTGCGTTTCGTTTTGTTTTGGCATCAACTGCCGATATGTCTCGGGATCAACCATCCACGTGTCTGAGCAATTCGAAGGGTTTGTAAATACAACAATCTAGAATGAATAGTATGTCCCCAACAAATAATACCGCAATTGGTGAACTGTTCTGAAATCGCCATTTCCATACCAAATAATGCTGTGACAGCGTCTTCCCCATCTCCAATACGTAGCCAAAATATTCCAAATCATATATGCACCTTGTCCCAAATAAATTGTATACATCGTAGGGTTCTCCGTGTATTGCGCCATCGTTTAGTAGATATTGTCTGCTGTATGTATTGCCAGTATCTAGGCGCCGACACTGAAGCCGAATGAGCCGTCAAAGACGTCGAGTTTTTTTACGTCGGTGCCTCCTCGGAGGGCTAGCAGAACGTCCATCGCAGGGACTTTGTTGGCAGGATAAAACAGAAGGAGATTGTCCATATCTTCGTCTGTGAGGCCGCACATCTCGTCCCACTTGTAGGTATCGCTAACTTTGGACATCCTATTATCGGGATTGTCAGTATAGTCTACGTGAAGGGCCTCATGAAACTGACCAAAGCATTCGTTTGGGTCCATCCTCAGGCTTGGGGGCCATTTTTCTTAATCTGAGTCGCAGTTCACCGATAGTCTCGATGGCATTGCCAGCATTCTTGGGTAGTTGCTTGGCGATGAACTGCCGAATGGCCGCCGCCAACCTGGGTCCCTTGCCGTTGGTGCTGACCATAATCTGGAGGGGACCATCGCGATGGATACTGCCGAAATAGAAATCGCATTCGGGTGGTACGTCGGCGATGTTGGCGGGAATCCTTCGCTCCTTGCAAAGCTTCCAAACGACGGTCGAGGCGGCCGGGTCGTCGATAGCGACCAGAACCATACTGGCTCCGTCTAAATCTTCGGGCTCGAATACTCGATCGACGTGAGCGACTTGGCCTTCGCTGACTCGGTAGGCGACTTCATCATTGAGGCCGGACTTGGGGCACACGACAGTGACGTTGGCATCGGCGTTGAGGCAGTTTAGAATTCTACCAGCAGCGACCTAAAGAGAATTGTCAGGTAAGATGAATCATTGAGTACACGGTTGTTTGTGATTGATGGGCGCTTCAGACATCAAAGTCCGAGGCTCGGCGCATGTGATGATGATTCAGACGTACCTCACCACCGCCGACAACAAGCACCTTCTTGTGCTTGATTTGCCAGGCTAAGATCAAACTGCCTCCAGGCTGTACAGGAGGATAAGTCTTTGCCATTGCGACTGGAGCAGAAGAGGGGGAAGCAGAAGCAGAAGCAGAAGAAGATTCGGAGGAGGGAGTAGAAGAGGCGGGAGGAGATGCCGGAGATGCCAGCGCCGGCTGGGCTGATACTGGCTTCTGAATGGGGGTCATTTTTCCCCGTCAACTAAAGTCAGGGACGGTAAGTAAAGGTGACAAAGGTTGACTCTTATCGAAGCTGCAGGGGTTATGATAAGACACGGCGGCCCATGGCGGCAAGAAAACTTCAGAACCCGAGCTAGGGGATAAAAATTAACTGGTCTATAACTCGGCACAGACTGCACCACACTTCCTTCGATCTTTTTGTCGCTCAAGATAAAGATCCCAAGTTTTATTGCCCCTATCGGACGGGGAACGGGAGTAAGCGAGTGAGAGCTAACTTTATTTGGCATGGAATGACACATGCTATATGTGTACTTGGTTCACCGCCTTTGGAGCTCCGTATCCAAGGTACCTCTTTATCTGGCATGAGCACCAAGCCACTGGGAGCAATGCCTTGCCAGGCTATCCTGTATCCCCTCAATCCATCATCTTACTTCCAACATACCCCCGCGGCGCAGCTCGAGATAGAGCCCGACCAGCTACGGTCGCACTCTTTCTCATTTTGGCTTTGGTTTCTCATTTTGAAGATTCTTCATCATGTCGGGCCGCAAATTGGGCGGCGGCCGTGTCCTAGGCAGCGGCAGGGGCCTTGCTCCCCCGACACCTCCGATTACGAATGCGCCGCGAGTAGCAAGTCCATTGGCAGCGTCCGAAAGCAGCATCTCGATAGCTTCATCGTCGATATCCCCTCCTGTTAGCGGTATCTCGCCAGATATTCCGGGCCAGGACATTGGAAATAGCATCAGCGTTGGTGCTCAAGGGAAAGGCCCTGCTGATGGCGCACTTGTCTGCCCAATATGCAACGAAGAGATGGTAAGTTATGACATTATCTATGTTGAATGTTGTTAGCTAAATACTGTGCCCATAGATGACTCTTCTTCAACTCAACCGCCATATCGACGACAACCACCAAGAACTACCAGAGGAGGAGCAGGATGAGGTCAAGACGTGGTTTGACAAGCAGGTTCTCAAAGCCAAACGATTTCAGCCTCTCTCACTCATTAACCAAAAACTACGCGGTCTCGATGTCTTCGAATCAAACGAATCACTCCCTGTTGCCGCACCATCTAGTGCTGCTGGGAAGAACCCTCTTGAAGGCCCGGTTGACCCCGACGAACTTATTACACGGCATCATTGGCAACGGTCTACAAGCTACGATCTTTGTACAGATCCGGCGTGCGGAAGAAGTCTGGGACCTTTAAATGGAAGCATAAACTGCCGACATTGTGGACGATTATTCTGCGAGGAACATACCATGTACCAAATGAAATTGAGTCGAAGCGCAAAGCACGAACCGGTTCGAGGATACTGGGCGCGAGTTTGCGAGACATGCTTTAAATCAAGAGATGGATATAACGATCACCAAGGTGTTTTGACGGACCACACTAACGCCTTCGTGGAAATAAGAAGGAAAAAGGTTGAGCGACAGAATCTAGAAATCTCACGACTCGAAAAACGATTAACAAAACTCACAAAACTACTAGCGAACCCTCCCGAAAAACTTCCACAATCCAATGGCTCCTTACTAGGCCCAGTTACATCATTAGCAGGGCAAAAGAACCCCCGGAAGCTCATTGAGCAGTCCGTTGTTACTTGGGAAGAAGATGCTACTGTCTCGAAATGCCCTTTTTGCCAGCAAGAATTTGGCTCTTGGACGTTTAGGAGGCACCATTGCCGTATATGTGGCCGTGTTGTATGCGGCGACCCGCAAACAGGATGTTCTTCTGAAGTTGGCCTTAATGTGTCAAACGAAACTAATGGAGCGACAAAAGCGCCTTCGGGGACTGAAAAGCCCCTGTCAGTAACTGGCGACGGGCAAGTCGGGATAGACATTCGGATGTGTCGTGATTGCAAACACACAATCTTCTCCGCTCGGGACTTTGCAGCTTCCTTACAGCACAAGCCAGTAGATCAACGAGCATACGAAACGTTGAGGCAGTTTGAGCGTGGAATCCAGCAACTTCTACCATCTTTTCATCGAGCCTTACTGAATCTACAACCGGAGAAAAAGGAGAGCGGAGAGATTGATCTTAACAAGCCACCCCCTACACATGCACAGATTCAGGAAGCGGCCAAGATTCGCAAGCGTTTGGTTGATAGCTTTGGAAAATATGGCATTGCTGCGAAGCGCCTGCGTGATCTCCCAACCGAGAGCCCGACACAACGACGTCTTCAAATGGCGATATATACATACGCTAGTGGTTTTCTCCACACAAACATGCTTCCTCTAAAGAGCCTTCCTCAGCTGCTTCGCTCACGCTCATCTGCATCATCTTCTACGGCAGTTTCTACATCACGACTTCTTGCTTCACATCACCACTCAGGATCGAGTTTACGGCACTCAGAGCTAGCTGACGAGACGTCGTCGCAAGCACCTAGTGAAGGAAGTACAGTTGTGAGTCAGCTAGAGGCGGAGGAAAAGGAGCTTCGTGAGCGACTCGTTGTCTTGGAAGAGCAGCGTTTCATGGTTGAAGCCATGGTCAAGACCGCCCAGGGCTCAAGACGGTTTGAGGAAGTCAGCGCTTTGTCAAGAAACGTAGACGAGCTTGATGCTGAGATCAAGGTCCTGAGGAACAAAGTTGGTGGTGTTGAGGAGAGATGGGAAGGGGTCTATCGCAATGGCGTTGCATGAACATGCCATCAGATTATCGGCAAGATCGCCTTGGGTATTGGAGCTGAACTGGAGAATTCATCTGCTTGGTTGTATATAATCACATGGCATTTGCATGGCGTTTGGAGTTTGGAATTGGGCGACACGGGAGTTCTACTGAGACGTAAAGTCTGCCCCTGTCTCTTTTCACATAGCTTATACTCATCGAAGTGAAAGCACCCAGTCAATGACTGTTCTTCATGTCATATATTATACACCATTACTCGTCAAGGGCGCTATCTATCTAACTTCTCCTCATTCCTCTTTTATGCTCACTCTTTCTCGTCCAGAAATAAAGGTATAAGTAGTCGTCCAATCTCCGGTTCTCGTAGACAAAACGAAAATGCAACAAAAAGCTTGAAACAGTAGTGTAACTATAAACAGAAAGGTATGCACCCCATGGCCAAATGGAAGAAAACGCCCATTGCTCTAGTCCACCACGAGCAGGGGTGCTTTTCGGGCTCGGCGGGTATCAAAAGCACCGTGTACAAATAAACACAGAATCGTACAGAAAGTGTAGTCGTTACAGTCTGCAATAAGCACAAACCGATGTGTGCTGTGCAGTCAAAGAATTCGAGAGCTTAGCATCAGTGCACAACACCCTCGACGCCGCCGAGGAAACGTCTCACACGGTTAATTTCGAGCTCCTCGTGTTCACTTTCCACAGCTTTGAGTAGGCCGTCAATAACAGCGTCAACTTCGTCTTCTTGGACTCCCGTGCACAACGCCACTACACGACGGTACTTGACTTCGACATCGCGGCTCCGTCCTTTTAAGGCGGCGACCATCTTTCGAGTCATATCACGACGTCCCTCGACGGCACGAATACGGGCACGTAGAACAGCTGCTGAAGGCAGGAGGCCCTCACCGCCAAAACCACCTCCCGAGGTATCATCAGCGGCTTCGAGCATGGCAGACAGCTCCGTTTCCCATGAAGATGAGGGATTGGGCTGTGACGCTCTGGATTGTTCTTGCATGAGACGGACTTGTTCGTCTTCACGTGCATGTGATAGATTGGCGACCTTTTGCCTAGCTAATTGTTGCTTCTTGAGTGTCGCGCTCAGGTGTTCAAAAGTTCGTCGGGCTTCGCCAAGTTGTGTTGACGTGGTGCGGAGAGTGGTATGAAGGGTGTCGAGAGAAGCCTGTTTGGCCTTCATCTCGGTTTGGAAAGCTGAGCCTGTTTCTGATAATAGGTGAGAGATGGCTGTTCTAATTAGCAATGAACCGATGGATTGTTGAGGTGTGATCAACTTACAGGCTACTATCTCGTCGCTGCTCTCACGACTGCGTTGATTTGTCCCTGTCGCACCATTCTTATCCACATTGACTTCGCCATTCGTCTTGTCCTCAACATTTTCACTGCCAATGCCAAAGTCAAGCGGACGTAAACCAACACGGTTAGCGATATTCGGATCTGCGCCGACCTCTAACAGTTGTGAAATAATACTACGGTTTCCGATTCGAGATGCAATGTTCAGGGCTGTGTCGCCAACACTATCTTGAGCGTTGACTATCTCGCTCATGAAGCGAGCTATTCCCATTTTTGGGTTGGCCGACTGTGAGGCGCTGGGCCCATTCCCGTTGGTAGCCTGGCTGTTAGGTGCGCTACCTTGCCTTACAACCCACTCCAGAAGGCTTTCGAGGTAATATCGGCTTGCAGCGTTGCGCCCCTTCACAGCGCTCGTTACCGCAATGTGATGAAGCACTGTCCGTCCCTTGTGGTCCCGAGCCTCTATGGTGCTGCCCAAAACCTCTAGGAGGTCAGGAAACGAGTTATGATCCTGAGAATTTGTGACTAAACATGCCCTCATCAGGGCCGTTTCGCCGGAAGCATTTACGCGGGACGGGGAAGCGCCAGCAGCGATGAGAGCACGGAGCAGAGGCATGCGGGCAAGTGTAGCAGCCCAGTGGAGAGCAGTATGGCTCTGCAAGTCGATGGGCATATCCAATTCTTTTGGGGTGTAACTTCGAAGCATATCATGCTTCGTGGGATCGGTGCCAGGGGCTTCCAGAAACAAGCTCATCAGCATGTTTCGCTTCATCTCGACCTCGGGGGACATCTCGTAAGGGAGAGGCGCCAGGGGCCCACTACCCTCGTCCACTGGCGAGCCATCCTGCATAGTATTTTGGGTGTAGATAAATGACTCGTTTGGTTCCGTTGGTGATCCAGGGAAGGCCGCTGCATACATGTCCATATTTTGCCCATATCCGCCAAAGCTATCGCCTGGTGTCATGGTCACTCGTTGGCGTTTTCGGGGAGGCTCTGTCTCGTTCATCTGAACTGAGTTGTTAATCTGTTGCGTAGAGTATGCCGAATCAACTTGTTGTCCATAATCAGAGGCAAAGCTCTGTTGAGAGTTGC